AGAGAGAGAGAGAGAGAGAGAGAGAGAGATTTATTGTCAAAACAATTCAATTTATTTAAAAACAAACACAAAATAAAACTATACTTTACTTGCGATGCATATATCGATGACCTGGATATCGAGGATTTATTGATGTCCTGCGAACCAGAACTGTATGATTGATGTAACCTTACTTTGGATCGGCTATAGTCTGGCGGTAGGGGTTGCGAGGGAGTGGTGGTTGCAGTGGCGGCGCCGGCACTACTCGTGAAATGGTTATATTTGTGTTGATCGAGTGCTGGATAGGGCCTAACGTATTGTCTAAACCCTCCATCACTGTCCTCCTCATCCTCTCCAACATTGCCGCCAATGGTCGCAGTGTTCAAGTGTTGCAAACTATAGCGTTATCATCAGATTTATCAATATATTGTCATTAATTAATATTTATGTGATATGTATTTGTGTGAAAACTAAAAATATATGTCTAAATACATGTCTAAATACATGTCTAAATAGGATTCAATTTATAGATTAGGGTCTCATTTGTGTTCACAAAAGTAAAGTCGTTTCGCAACACAAAACGCATTGCGTTTGTCTTAGCGTTCATTAGTGCCCCAAATGACACTTCCGTGCAATACAAGCAAATATGTGATGCCTTTCCTTAATACCATTCCCTATCCAATACATGGCGTTCATTATTATCGGATAAAATAATCAATTCGTTGGCAGATTTAACACAAAACAAAAGTATTTGTCATTTACTTATTATGTCTTATTAATTAATAAATAATATTTTATCAAAACAATTGCTTAGAAATGCATATTCATTAGCATATCATATAAAATATAATCATTTAGTTAATTAATTTTGATGTTAACACATAATTACAAAAATATGTACAAAATTTATCTAAATGTCTAAAAACGAAATATTTTTTATTTTAATAATAACTTATGGAAAGTTGTATTTTGCATGAAATTAATGACCGTTTGTTTGGATCAAAATCTCTGGGAATATCTGCGGAGTTCTTGCGTTTATTAACGCACGACAGCATCAGAAACGAGCTCTTCTGGCACTGACTGTCCGGCAAATGGTTGGCCGAAAGGCAGCCGAAGAGACG